AATATTGAATCAAAGGCTAAAGAAAAGACTATCTTAAACTATATCTAAAGAAATAGCTAGTAACTTAGTTATTCTTATCTAATCATACTTAATTTATATTAGTTATATTTAATATATTAAAATTCTTTTCTACTTAATTATCTTCAAACTTTAATATATTCTAATAACTTTACTTCCTCTTAAGACTATAATTAGTCTAGTATATACTTATCTTAAATACAACCGATTCCTTCTTAACAGTACTTTACTATACTGTTGGTTCATCTTCTTTGAATATTAAGGTAATTTTAATTTTAACTTTGATCTTTTTAGCTATAATCTTCTCTTTACTATCATTTCTTTAGATAGCTTCCTTCTTTATATAAAGGTTTGACTTTAATCCTACTTTCTTAGCTTTAACTTTTGCTTTATCAACACTTATAGATATTATATTTGCTGTTAACCTACTTTACTTTTTATATTTAGCTTTATTTATACTTTTTTATAAGCTATCATTATCAATCTTTGATATAGAATCTTATATATTATTGTCTAGTTTCTTTAAGCCTTTAGCTTTAGGTCTTCTATATTATAGGATTGGAATTTCCTTCTTTATAATAAATTATAGAAATAAGGAGGCTATTTACAATCTTTATAAGCTAAATTAAGTATCTTTTGAAGCGATTTAAGCTTAGTCATTTCTATACCAAAGTATATAATACTTAAACTGCCTTCAATAATCACTTTTGCTATTAAAGTTTATTATTCTTTTAAAACCTTCTCTTTAATATTAAATGATCAAAATAGTATAAAATAGAACTGCTTAAAGCTATTATATATATAGTTGAGTATAATTATATAAGCTTTAAATTTCTTATATATCTATATAAGATAGTATTTCTTATATAGAAATCCTTAACCTAACTAGTAGAAATCTACTAAGTATAAATAAAGTCTAACTTATACTATAAGCGACTATATAGTCTTCTTTATTTTTTATATACTCTATAAACGGTCTTTATTGACTATTCTAAACGATTCTTTAATAGTCAAAGGTATAGAAGATATAAAAGTTATCAACTTAAGATAGTTTGTTTATATATAACATATTTTATAGATAGGTTGAAAAAGTATAATTTGTTTAAACGATAAAGTAAGATTATATATAATAGATAACGAAAGTATATACTAAAAGTAGGTAGAAAAACTTAGATTTTCGCTTATAATAGTAGAATAAGACTTATTTACTCTTATATAAGAATATTTGTCTTTATAAGCTAAAATATCTTTGTTATCATTCATTATATAGATGCTTAAGAATCTATACGATTCTATATAACTTTGAAAAATCATATACATTCGTATATAGCTTAAAATCCAACCTACATAATATAATTCTAGGGCTAATCACTATAGTAATATCATCCTCTAAATCAATTGCATCTATTTTTTATTAAACAACTGAATACTATTGGCTTAAAGTACGTACACCCTGGTACTATGGGGTGAATGTATTGACAAAAAATGATTTTGGCATAGTTCGCCTTATCGCCTTCCGTAGATTTGTTTACTTTAGGAGCGTGTCGCGCCTGATTCTGGCTAGGGACCCCTGAAAAGCCGAAGAACCCTGCGTCATTAGTATCCCACTCCTGTGGGAAGCTCCATTTACCCCAGCTTTTAGACGAGCACCATCATCGACAGAATGCGATGTAAAGAACGTGCTGGACATTTCGATGAGCGATTATTGAATCTGAAACTCCTACAGTAGAAATATGCTTAGGTATTATGGGAGAAGTACGTCTAACCTTCAAAGCATACAGCATCATGGGGTATCGTTCATGTCTTCGTCTTCGCATTACTTCGAGGCCGGAAAGGTAGCCAAGAACGTCCTTCAGCATCTTGCATGGGCCTGATGTTCGCGTCTTTCGTCAACTCCTGCCCAGTCAATTGCTTCTCTTTTCTCATCCTTGTCCTTCCCCGGTTGCTGTGCTGCTCCAGGCTGCTCACGTCAATCGTATCTGAGCTTCGGCCTAGACTTGGATTCTGCAGGCACACCTGGCAGCGGCCGGCCACAAGACCTCCTTTGCCCTTCTCGCGGCCACACTCTGCGCAATGAATACCGCACAGGTAGCGTGTGCAGCCAGGCACTCTGCACTCCGGCTTCCAGCCGCAGTCCTGCCCGAGATGGCGATTACCGCACCGGCATTTCTTCAACTTGCACTGGCTCCCGCTGTGGCCCTTGATGCCGCACATACAGCACCGTGACTTGCAGCCCATGGCATTCCGATGCTTGAAGCTGCCCGTGGCGTGTATGTCGCCGCATGGCCGTGAGCAAGTCACCTGGCACTTTGCTGCAACGTGGAACATTGGGAACGGTCCGCATTTGCATCTATTGGTAGGTGCTACCGGACATTGCGGTGCGATGTGTGACTCGCGATTCATCCCCGCCACTGGTTTGCCATTGATGTCAAGGCGAGACATGTCTTCAGGGTTAGGGGCCCCGCAGTATCCACAGGGAAGGTGGCACCTGGAAGTGGTGTGGTTTTTGCTGCAACAGTTGGCGCACAAAAGGGGGACCGGTGACTCTCCTGAATCTCTTGGATTCAATAGGATGGGTCGAATAACCTTTGCTGCCGTACTACTATGGATGCCATTGGGAGTAGCAAGAATTGAATAAGGGTGTCCGTCATCAGCGCATTCATCGGCGAGAACTTGAACACGTACACTTGATAGCTCTCCCTCTGAGGCGATGTCTAGCGCAGGACGTTGAATCTTGGGAATTTTGCTACCTCTCTGGTCTTTATTGAGTGAACTATACCATCGATTAGGCGTCTGGCGGCTTGTTACGCCAGGAGGTGACTTCGATGCAGGGTTTCTAGGGACAAGATTCCAGTCGAACATCTCCGAAATCCTTGTGCGGCTCAGACTTCGTCTTCTGCTACGTCGGTCCAGAGTTGCGAGACTCAATTTCGGAAAGAGAAGATTATCATTCGAGCCAGGAATAAGCCAAGCCAAGCGGGCGGCTGTAAAAGCCGCAGGGGGTGGTTCACTCGCGGCACGCTTTCGAGACCTCCGGCCAGGCCAATTTGTTAGTGTGTCATCGCTCCATTGATTTGTAGAGTATGAGCTATCCTTGCCAAGTTCTCTGTCTGTCCAAGCTCTCATGGTAGAGTTGTACGATGACGGTAATTCCATCCTCCCTTGCCATCGCTCGTGTCCGTCTTCCCATTGTGGAAAGCGCATGCATCTCACAGTCGTCCTCTCCCCAGGCCAAGCTGGTTCTAGTGCGTAACCCATATGATGTAAAGAGAAGAGGTGGAAGCGGTATTGCGCATGGACATTGGCAAGCATGGGCTGCCGTAGCGCAGGAAGAAAGGCTCCGCCATCAAACAGGAAATTTGCCTGTGCAGTGCGAGTTTTGGCTTGGAGTGAGCGTAGAAGCACAGTATCCTCTCCCAGCCACGTCTTATGCTCGGTTTTCCGGGTTGCTTCTTGGAAATCGTTGAAATACTTGACGACTCTAGCACGGCTGCCCCGGGCCGTGGCCCTATTGTGTGTTTGCGCGGCCCCAGGAGAGGCACTCGATGGCGTAGGTAGCGGAGGCCGTCGCGCCTGTAGCCAAAGTCTCAGGGCCGGATCGTCTTGTTCTATATAATGTCGTCGAACAAGATCTAAAGCCAGTTCTTCTACCGTCGCGCGGGGCGCCCAAGGGCCGTCCACAATCAGCTTGAAAGACACTGTCTGCGTTCGTGTGTACGGGAAATCCCAAGCAACATCGACGTTGTCGATCAGCTCCTTGAAAACCGTGATTTCACATTTCTTTCGTAGTTCGGGTTCCCGTGCACTTGACGTAAAGAGCATTTTGCGTAGCAGCTGGAGATCGGCCCGGAGGTGAGGGTTTCCAAACTTGAGACCTGCGAATCCAACAGGGCGAGTGGCCGAGGAGCTGAGCAAGTGGGCGTTGGCCGGATTTTGAGCTGGAGACATGATCTGGGCCATGATGCGGTTCACGAGAAGGTCTCGAGCTGTCAGGCGGCGGTGCTCATACCGTTCAAAAGGTAGATCGGGAAGATCAACGGGATAATGGCGAGTGGCTGTATCGGAATGACTACCCTTGGTCGTGCTTCGAGAAGAGAACTTCCTCAAACCCTCTGACCTCACTTCAGCAGCGTGGGCTGGCTCATCACCAGCCTCCACACGAGCCTCGGCCATCGCCTCGGCCTGCCTGCTCTCTCCTGAGGACGAGGTGATTTAAGGCATGAATGCCCACAATGGCCATAAACAGATCGTTTGTTTGTCTCGACCACAAGCTGGAAAGTCGAGGCTAGCTCTTAGGTAAGCAGATCAGAGTATGTGGCTGACTTTAAAAAAAGTGAGTTGAGGTGAAGGTTGATATTCAAAGTGTGCTGATTACTACGCAGTACATAGAGGCAGTACTCAAGTTTCGTTGACGGTCCGTACAGTAATGAGCATCTTCTAACAGGTGGAGGGAAGTGCCGCTATCATTAGTGGGACTTTGAAGGCAGGGTCCCGTCCCCGGGTGGGGGGCAGGGGAGCTGCCTTAGCGGACCAATCGATAAGCTTACCATCAGAAACAGACCTGGGCAGGCCACGCTAAAGAGCGCTGGAGCCACCATTGGACAGGTGGGGGGGTTCTGCAGAGTTTGGGGGTTTTGCCTTCCTTTGACCGGCGCAAAGCGGGTTGCAGCCTCGTCGGTATTGTTTCTTGTTTTGTTTGTTCTACCTTAGCTCCAACAGACAGAGAGACAAACAGCTTCCGTTTCTCCTGCAAACCGCCTTCTTCTCTGTCGCCAATTATCAAGCTTGACGCAATCAGCAGTCAGTCCTACGCTGAAAGTGACTGTGGTTCATAAACACTTGAAAGCAGCGCAATTCCCCTCCATACCGCCCCAGCATCTCCAATAAGAGCTGCACTGCCGTTGCCGTTCTTGTCGCGATCCACGATACAACCCTCTCGGAGAAGTTTACACTGCCAATCTTTACGTCTTTGCATCTACAGGATGTCTCCTAGCGCCGCGAATAACGACGCTCCGGAGGCTGCCAAGGTCGTCCCCGCCAATCCAGGTTAGCCTTATCTGAATCTCAAGGAGGAAATGGCACGTCACAGTCCACTGACATCGTGTCTAGATCCGTCCGTCGTTGTCACGCCCAAGATCGAGGGCCACTGGACTGTTGAGGAGGTCGTCAAAACCATTCCCACTGGCAAGCCGACGGAGGGCTCGACCTCGCCGCTGCCCTACTTCCACCTTCTCGAGAGACTCAAGACCACAAAGCGTGAGGGCTGGCAGCGGTTCGGCATTGTACGGTAAGATATGGCAGTCCATGGCACATGTTTCATCCTCTCCAGTCGCTAATATCAACACTTCGAGCAGAGGCGAGTCTATCGCGGACCACATGTACCGAATGGCCATGATCTCCATGATCGCACCCCCGGCCCTCAAGGATCGCCTCGACCTGAACAAGTGCATCAAGATGTGCCTTATACATGACATGGCCGAGTCCCTGGTCGGCGACATCACGCCGGTGGATGGGGTTGCTAAGCCGGAGAAGAACAGGCGGGAGGCCACGACTATGGACTACCTGACGACAAACTTGCTCGGGAACGTCTCTGGTGGAGCGGGAGCCGACAATGGCAAGGAGATACGGGCGATCTGGCAGGAGTACGAGGACTCCAAGACGCTGGACAGCCTCTTTGTGCACGATATTGACAAGCTGGAGCTGCTCCTGCAGATGGTCGAGTACGAGAAGCGCGGGGAGGGCAAGCTGGACCTGGGCGAGTTTGCCTACGTGGCCAAGAAGATGGCGCTGGAGGAGATGAGGGCGTGGGCCGACGAGGTCCTGAAGGAGAAGGACGCGTTCTGGGGATCGCGGCCCCATGTCCACGGTGAAGACGGCGTCGAGGGCGGCGTGTCTAAGGAACATGTTCAGGCTCAGGAGGAATACTACGCGCGAGACTGAACGGTTTGGAGATGTCGTGGGTGACACCTTACGATTCCTCATAACCGCGACTGCTGAGGAGCTCAAAGGGATGCAAAGGCGGTCGTCGGATGGACAGAGTGACCAAGAACATGGTAACAAGAGTACGACAGACTGCGATGGGGAAGCGGAGTCTCCGGAGTCTCACGCGGACAGCAGCAACACGAGAGCAATCCAGTTGGATAGACCAGATTACTTAGACGGCGTACTCTTGTCCTCATCAAGGACAGCGCGAAGACTCCATAGAAGAAATAATACATGCCGCAGCTACGCGTGATACTGTCCATAATCTTGGAGTTGTCAGCAACTTGGGGATATCCAATACCCAACTCATGTCTGATTGACTTGATTTCACGGAGGCAATCTTGTTCCGAGTTGAGAAAGGGGTTCTTCCTCTACTGTTTGGCTGCCCCTCTGTTTACTTAGCTAGTCAGGGGAGTGACGCTAGAGCAAGCTGTTCCAGTACACTACAGTTTTGCCGGCGCCCCACGCGTCGGCGATTCCCACAGCAACGGGGAACGGGGAACGGGGATCTCTAACACCCTTGCCAACATTGACAACCAACTAACGTTATTGATAGCCTTGTCATGGTGAAAAGAAGAAGAAGAAGAGAAAGAAGCTCGCCCCAGGCGTTCCGTATCTGAACTGACGACTTCCAGTGCTCCACGTGGGAGGAGAATCTCGATCCGTGCAGGTGGTCGCCGACAACGTCCTCAGGTCTCAGTTCCCCCAGTTCCTTGGCTGTGTATGTACAGCACAGCATCATCGATTGCCGTCATTTCCATGCCAGCCAGCCAGCCAGTCAGCCAGTCGGTGCAGCGAGACACACTACCTGGCCTAGGTACAGCAGACTTGGTACAGCACTGCTCAGCGCGACAAAATACAATACACGGCTCATCAGCGGCGTCGCGTGCGAGCGTGTGTTCGAATAGCTGGTTCTACTAAGCCAACTTAGCACTGCTATTATTGCTGGTGCTGGGTGCTGGTGCTGGTGCTGGTGCCCCTCCCTGCGTTACGCTCTTCTACGTCACGCGGATTCCATTCCTTTTTCCTTTGCCCTCATGCGGCGAGGCACCCGACGCCGCCAAATATCCACGTACTCGTCCCAGCGCCGCCACCTGCCGAAGCTGACCGTGGAGAGAGCTACGGTGGCCGTGAAGAGTGACACCGAGACTGTAACCGACACAGCAGGAACTGCAGTTTCGCTTCAGCCGATCCTCTACCGACCGACCTATCTACATACGTTACCTACCCTAGTTCCCCTCTAACTATCGACCAGACAGCCGACACCAGGAGCTCGAGCCTATCGAGGAAGTCGCGAGTTTGAGACGCCGGCTTTTGTTGAACCTTCTCACCAAGGACTCGAGCCCGGAAAAAGACCGTTATATATTGGTGCCGGTCGATACGGGATCCCTCCGACTACACCATCCCGTCTAAGTCTCTCACGCTGTCGACTGGCCTCGTCTCACCGGGCGACGGCCAGGCTATCGTCGATTCACCCAGCTCAACAATGTCGTTCGCACCACAGTTTCACATGCCTGGAAACTACCACTTCGAGGCGCCCACCTCGCTCAACGCGGGCATCTTCCGCCCTCCCATCTCCCCATCTGCCTCCTCTTACAACCTTGCCAAGTCCACCGGCTCCCTCATCTCCGATGTCTCGACAAACAACACACCAGCGCCTCCGTTGCGGCGGAAACGTACGCACGATGACGCGCAGAGGGAATCACATCTCTGGGCGCCAGACTTGCATGACCCGGGGTCCCCCATGCTGGGCCCAGCGCAAGGGTCGAGAAGATATGTCCTCGCCGGTCAGATCGAGACACCAGGTGCGCAGACGGTCGCCGAGAACGGAGGGTTAGACGATAGCATGTACTCGGACATCGATTATCGCCGTGCCCTGGGGCCTACGAGGGGAGACGATAGCACAGAGTCTCCGTCCGCTCGGCTCGCAAAGCTGCAGATCGGTTCAGGGATGCACGAAGCCAGCCAAACCCCGAATTCTCCTGGTTGGAGCGTCTTCGCACTGAACACTATAGGGGGCGTCGTCGGAAAAGTGTGGGAGTTTTGCAAGGGTAGTGCCTTCAAGGGTTTCTATGCAGGCGGCGGAAAGGGATACGAGATACACGCAGGCGACTCAACACCATCGAATCAAGAAGAAAAGGCGTGGTCCAATGAACACAATGTTCCAACATCTCATAGCAGGATCTCGCCGCGTAGGATGATGAGCCCTCCCGGGGCGTTTCCAGAGCCGGATTACATCTCTTATGCTTACCAAGACACTGGTTTGACGGATATTCCAGTCCGACCGGCTGCGAAAAGGAGACAGCTCAGCGAACAGGATGAACTGCGACGGAATTGGGTTATAGTAGATGAACCATCACCACAGCCCCGAAGCAAGGTCAAGCGAGCTCCCCTAGGCAATACAGCTTCGCCTGCCCCGTCAAGAGCCAGCACAAGACCACAGCCACCACGCTACTCGATGCCAACTTCTGCGTCAGGAAGACGAATAAGTGTACCTGTCTCGAGGTTGAACGTCGCAGAGCAACGGCCTGGTTTGACTAGACGAGCCTCTGCGAGGGTATCACATGCAGGCTCGCCATCTTTGACGTCGCGCGAGCCGGCAAGCTTTGCCCAGCCACGATCCCCAAGGCCCTCCACGCCGTCCTCTGTCTCAACTCGCATACCTCAACCCGCCAACCAGACTCCTAATCCATTCGCTTCGATACGAGCTGCATCTCCACGCCCATCAAGTCGACCGTCTTCTCGACGCTCTAGTATAACTTCCCCGACGAATCCCACCTTCCCTGCCATTTCCAAAGCCGCCTCCAATTCTCATCGTCGAAACACATCCAACGCATCGGCCGCATCCACCGCGAGACGGAAGACGGGATTGGTCGCTGATGACATTGAAGCAAGTCCAAGACTGGACGCAGAAGCGAAACATCTCGCTGCCAAGAAGATCGTGGCCGAGAAGCAAGCTGATGCAAGAATAGAAGCGTTCAACTCAAGGTTGATGGAGATGATTCGTCAAGGGAAGGAAGCCCTCGGGACGACAGTCGAGGTAGACATGGACGAGGGCTGGGACGATGATGATGATTAGTTGGGAAATCACTTGCTGCATTCTACGGGTCTGGCGTTTGCGCTTGGGTGGAACCGTTCAAAATTTTCTTTACGGTATACCCCCCTAAACTGTATATTGGATGGAGGGTTCCCTCAAAATCTAGCCTCGGACTTTTTTTCATGAGCCTTGTTGGCCTGCGTTGTGTCCATTTCTGTGATGTACATGCCGTTACGTATTATAATCAAACCAACGTCACGCTATAATTATCAGCTCAGGTGAACCGCAGACGTCTAATTATCGCATGATCCCAGCTTGTAGGTAGACTTGCTCTCCTTCTGTGAGTTGAGGTTGTTTGAACATTATATAAATAGGAGGAGAACTCTAGCAATTTGAAAGTCTCAGAAACAACTGCCATGCTCTGAGCGTTGCCGAACACAAACAAAACTCTAGTCAGGCGCAAATGAGTAGTAGGCTAGGAGACGTGTTGCGCAGACGTCTTCCTTGGTTGATTGCCTAGCATTTGGAGTCGTAGGAGATCTCGGAGGATCGTCGTGGCGTGCCATTATGCCATCTTTCAATTCGAAGCCGTGACCCAGTGCATCAATGCGCTATAGTCCAGGACATATTGGCTCAAGATAAACAATATGATTGCCATCCGCTGAACAATGCGTGTGGTTCGTCTTAAGCGCAGTGGCACGGCATAGCATTGCTGCTATTAATCAACATGAGCCCGCGACACATCTTCCGCTCCAGCTTCGGTTCTCGGTAGCACCCCTGGTCGCCAAGAGGCCCATCCTTCGGAAGGAAGAAGTAATGGTGGCATCACTATTGAATTCATCGACATATGCGAGTTGATGAAGTGAACTGAAGTTGTTATTTAGTTGGCGCACGACGGAAGAATGATGTCCTCCTTTAGCTAGTCGTTGGGCGAACAGACAGAGTATAAAAAGACGAGGAAAAGCCATCGCAAAAAGTCTGAGATAGTGTACTCGGTATCATTCAGCAAGAGTTAGTTTCGAACGACAACCAAGAATCTCCAAACCAGGCTTTTTGTGAACTCCGTTAAACCAGTCTTCGCAACAAGATGAAAGGCTTGTTATCGGCATTTGCAGTGCTAAGTGCACTCGCATCTGTCTCTGCCCACGCAACCTTCCAAGAGGCTGGCGTGAACGGCGTCGATCAAGCGAAGAAGTGTACAAGGCTTCCAGTAAGTGATTCCTACATATTTGATAAGGCGATGCTGACTTCTTGCGACTAGTTGAGTAACTCTCCAGTGACAAGCGTCACGTCAAACGATATTAGGTGCAATGCTGGCACAAAGGCGGCTGAGGAGACTTGCGAGGCAACAGGTGTGTCTATCTTGTGATGAATCTAGGTCATGATAACCACATGCTAAACATCAATGCCAGCTGGGGAGTCTTTCACGGTTGAGATGCATCAACAGCCAAACGACCGAGCTTGTGGCACGGAGGCTATTGGGGGGAATCACTTCGGTCCAGTCTTGGTGTACATGTCAAAGGTCGACCATGCTGCTGCCGCTGACGGATCAGCGGCTTGGTTCAAGGTTGACGAGTTTGGATATGATGCTTCCAACAAGACTTGGGGCACTGACCTCCTCAACGCCAACTGTGGGAAGCGAACTTTCAAGATCCCTACCAAGATCCCTGCCGGCGATTATCTGGTTCGGGCAGAGGCTATTGCACTTCATACCGCGTCCCAGGTTGGTGGCGCACAGTTCTATATGAGCTGCTATGTGAGTCTCTGCCGATCTGATATATGAAGGTAATGATACTAATTAGATGGAATAGCAAGTGAAGGTTGCATCAAGCGGCAGTGGTCAACTACCTGCCGGAGTTCAGTTCCCTGGTGCGTATGGCGCCAGTGATCCCGGCATCAAGGTCGACATCTGGGGTAGTGGATTCAAGTCCTATGAGATTCCTGGGCCGAAGGTGATTGATCCTAGCTACTTCTAAATCTTGGTTTGTTGGCCAAGCAGCTGTCAACATCATGAGAACCTGCTAGAATCGTCTAAGGATTTAAGGGTACACAGCATCAATTCAACATAGAATTACGTGTGCTCCAAAAGTACACCATGAAATTACAGAACCCTACTCAAATATCCACGCATGAACTTTCTATCGCGGCAATTTTCAAATCATAGCTCCTCCGGACCGTAATAGTCATGGTGCTTCGATAATTCCAGAGTTTTACACTCTGTATCGTTAGAGGTGAATTCTAGACAGATTTCTGTGTAACCTTGTCCTGCCACTAACAAGGTTGCCGACTATAGGAGGGAGGGGGCTGATATGCTGGGGGAGGTTCTATTAACACTGCTGCAGCAATTCCATCGGCACCTTGATCCGGCCTCCATCTCTCGAGTTCAATGTAAGTCGATTCTTGGTCGGATTCGATGTCTCGGTCGATCTTTTCTGAACATGATCGAATGCTTCGAGCCACGAGGCAATATAATAGGAAAGCAATGATTGCGATCGGCCATAAAAGACCCATTATAATGCAAGAAATCTTGGACATCCAGATCTTATGCCTCTTTGATCCTATATTTGGGTACCTGCGGTGCAGGTAGTCTGACAGTACGCAGCTTGAAACAAGAGAGAGGAAGACGTAGACGCAGCCCAGATAGGAGGCGAAGAAAATGACGATGGAGATCCCGTCAGGCCTCATGTTGATGTGTTGATTGGCGGAGAACAGAATAGAATTGTTTATTTTCTTGGTGTTGAGATGATCTAAAAAAGAGGCAGTATCATGTGGGTTGTAACGTCAATGAATGCATTACATCTCTTTTGACAGGCTTTTAAACACGGGTGTTCTAGCTTGATGTATTTCGGAGATACCATGTTAGAGTTTATTGACTCTAGATCTGAGTGTTTCTAGGAAGTTTTGGTAAACTTTCATTGTATCTCCGAAACTGACGCCACCCAGTTGAATTACATTTCGCAACGGATCGATGCCTTAGTTACAAGCCTCAACATTGTAGTAGTGGGAAGCTATTTCTTCCTTTTCTTAGCGATAAAGACTGTTGAAGGAAGCTATCGACTTGGAGTTCACGAGATCCTATATTTTACTAGGTCAATGTTGCTGTGACAATATACGGATTTCACGACTTTCCTTGAGTGTTGGCGAACGCCTTTGGAAGGAGGCATTTTCCATAAGCCATTGCGTTTCGAGTTTCCTTAAGTATCGAAGGGTTCAAATCAACACATGAATCTCTCTTTAATGACAACAACGCTCATGGGCCGGATTATATAGGTATTGGTTGAGTTGCTCTCCGCTTCCCGATTGGGCGTCTCGCACATCGTAAAGCCCTCGCATGTTCAATATGCCGGGAGGTGACCTGTAAGGCTATCTTACTTGCTGGTCGAGATTGCTGGTGCCTTGTGAATCTCACTGGGGTAGGAGATTAAATCGCCTCTCTAGCCAATAATCCCCTGCCAATGCGCCTGCATTAGTGTGGCACAGGGGCTGTGTTTAATCCTCCTCTTGCACTTGTCAACTTTAAATACTTGGACTCGCAGTCCAACTACTCAAACACCGTCTGTCGAAAAGCTGTGGCAACCGAGTTCAATCCCCGCAGTTCACTTGAGATGATTGCATTCGCTCATGTCATTACGGCCATTGTCTGGCTTCTGGCTGACAGCGTGCATGGCCATTGTGTCATCACGTACCCGGGGTGGAGGGGCAATAACCTCATCACTAACGTATCATTCCCCTACGGCATGCAACGCTCATATCCCTGTAAGTCGGCAGCCCTCATGTATATGAAGACAAATACATGCTGATATCTAATATTTAGGTGGTGGCCTGGACGTAACACAGAACCGTACGGCATGGCCCATCACCGGAGGAGCCGTTGCCTTGCAGCCAGGCTGGTTTGCAGGTCATGCGACGGCACTCATGTACCTGAATATTTGGCTTGGCCTAGACCCAGACAATTATGCCACGCTGTGGCCGATGTTTGAGATCCTTGGACCTTCTGATAACCCATACCCTGGCACAATCTGCCTTCCACAGATATCGCTTCCGAACGGCCTGACGCCGAGCAGTGGGGACTTTGCTACGATTCAGGTTGTACAGACCTTGAAGTCCGGAGCTTCACTCTTCAGTGTGAGTTTTGGCCAGACACAATACACCAACCTGCTTAGTAAACAACTAACATGTGAGCTTGGTAGTGTGCGGATATCGTATTCACGGACGATCTGTCCCAGGTTCCCTCTGTTAACGAGACAAACTGTTTCAACTCCACAAGTATCAAGGTCGAGAGTGTTCAAATCGTAAAAGCCTCAGATGTGCAGTCCTGCTCATCAACTCCAACAACGACTAGTGCTGGTGGATCATCGACTACAGAAAGTGGGACAAGTGGGAGAGCGAGTCTATTCCCGCCGTCTACGACGACGACGACAACAACAACTAGTGAGCAGAACGGCGCTGCTAGAAGCATGTCTCGCTTCTCGGGCCTGCTAAGTTTCCTACTTCTTATTTAGTGTTTCATGCAATACATCTAAGGCTTTCCGAAAATATGTGAACGAGTAAACGGGTGAGAGTCGGAGCTCTGTGAAAACAATACAATATGATATTCGATCGAGTGAAATGAGACTACTCAACAAAGGCTGAACAATGGTCCCCATCTTTCAGATCACAGCCACACGTATGTACAGCCCCTTCAGGAAGCATAAATGAAGGGGGTCGCTTGAGCTTATATGGCAAGCTTCCTACTTTCATGGCCACCTGGGTTATACGGCGCCGGGATTCAGGTCGGAGGGCCGCTGGATACGTCGGGCCGGGATGCGGACCAGCACCTGGAGTCTATCATCCGTCCATGTGCCATGCGTTGGCTGATCAAAATGGCATTTCGCCGATAGATAGGCCGTGATGCCGGTGAGATAATCCCGAGGGCATATCTGGTCGGGCATATTGATGAAATACCACGCTTGGCAGGCTCATGACACGGCAGCTTCCTCGAGAAACCAAGGCTGGGCATGCGGCGGATTGGTGCGCCTCTATGATCCCACTGACGCCTGCCAGGACTTCTATCAGGTGGCTGGCGGTGAACCTTGTCGTTGCATCGAGACAAGAGTGCCGAGAGGGTTGGCATCTTGGCGTTCTCAGCGGTGCATTTCGCTGCCCAGCATGCTGTGGCTTGCAGTTGATCGTGTTAGTCCCGACTACTGCCCGAAATCTGGGGGGAATCGGATCCGTTTCTCACGGAAGCTATCCCGCAGGTCACATCTAGACTATAGCTGCAACGTGAACAAGTCAACAAGCCATGGCTCGGATGAGTCTACCAGAAAGAACACGGGGGTAAGATCCCAGAGCGAGAGGTGGTCACTTGGCAAAGATCGTCCCTGCCGCCCAAATCGGAGACAAGAGAGCAAATGCCAAATGCTACATGTGCTTGAAAATCTACCTTGGCCAATGCCTATACTCTTGCACGAACACATTGGACGTCCATCTCGCCCCGCATCGTCTCAAGACTCCAAGACTCCCCCGCCCATGGGCTGTATTGCCAAGAAAGCGTCTCTGCTTATTGGCAGGAGCTAAGGTACCCCGGGCTGGAGACGATGCGTAAATGCTACTCATACGCAGCGCTTTCGGGGGTGATTACCATGGACGGTCATCGCCAAGTCGAAAATCCGCGTCTAGGGTTAGCAGTGGGAGAAGGCGACGCTTCAAGCATAAGCTGTTTGCACTCTCTCATGTTGCGATGCCAAGTATGCTCCTTTCAACGTTGCGACGATATTGGCTGAAACCAGGTATATAGGGACGTGCTTGCCTTCTGGTTGAGGGGAGTGGCCTCTCAATTATCTTCCAGAACCCGAATACCTCTAGAATCTACCTTGCTTCGTGTTGCTTTGCCTACCGACGGGGATCCAGCTAAGATGGGGCTCCCGACTCTCCCAAAAATATACAACGTCCACTTCGTGGCTATCATTGCCACCCTTGGTGGAGCACTGTCAGTGTTGAGCTTAACACCACTACTCTCAGACTTGTCCTAAATTACCATCTAGCTTTGGCTTTGATATCTCGTCCATGTCAGCAATCGTAGTGACCAATCAGTATATCAATTACTTCAACAACCCGTCTGGTGTGATCCAAGGTGCCATCGGTTCCGCTCTCGCGGCTGGCTCTGTGGTTGGGTCTGCTGTCGCCGGTCCCATCTCTGACAAGATCGGTCGACGTGATTCTATCATGTTTGCGTGTATCTTCTGGTTGATTGGAACCTCGGTCCAGGTGGCGTGCCGAAACTATGGTGAACTCATCGCTGGGCGAGTGCTTAATGGATTCACCGTTGGAATTACGTCTTCCCAGGTGCCAGTGTACCTTGCTGAGATTGCAAAGAAGGATAAGCGAGGCTCCATCGTCATTATTCAGCAGCTGGCCATCGAGTTTGGCATCCTCATCATGTATTTTATCGGCTATGGTTGCTCCAAGATTGATGGAACAGCGTCCTTCAGAACGGCCTGGGGCACCCAGTTCATTCCAGCCGTTTTTCTCATTCTGGGACTTCCGTTCCTCCCACGATCGCCACGTTGGTTGGCCAAGGTTGGGCGTGAAAAAGAGGCCATTCAGACACTTGCCCGAATTCAGGCCGGTGGTAACGAAAATGATCCACTGGTCATCGCGGAATGGGAGGAAATCGTCACCACAATGCGCGCCGAGCAGGAGGCTGGCCGTGGCTGGAGGAAGTTCTTCAAGAACGGCATGTGGAAACGTACGATGGCAGGCATGACAGTGCAGGCTTGGCAGGTGAGTAACCCCGACCCAAGATCTAAGAGATCTGTACGTGAGCTAACCTGATAAAAAGCAACTTGCTGGCGCGAATATCATCGTCTACTACCTCACGTACATCGCAGAGATGGCTGGACTGAGTGGCGATGTTGGCATGGTTACGTCTGGCATCCAGTACGCCGTGTTCATCATCTTCACCGGTATCATGTGGATTTTCATCGATAAGACTGGTCGAAGAACCCTTCTCGTCTGGGGTGCGCTGGGTATGGGCTTCTGCCATTTTGTCATCGGCGGAGTGATGGGTGCGCATCACACAAATGTGCCAGGCGGTGTCGGCGACCCGCCCAACGCCAACATCGTGATTGCTGTTGACAAGGGTGCCCCAGCCAACACCGTCATTGTGTTCTCCTACCTGCTTATCGTCGTGTACGCCCTTACTCTGGCGCCCGTCTGCTGGATCTATGCTGCTGAGGTCTGGTCGCTTGGTACTCGTGCCACTGGCATGTCGATGGCAGCCATGTCCAACTGGGTTTTCAACTTTGCACTTGGCATGTTCACTCCACCTGCTTTTGTGAACATCACTTGGAAGCTATTTATCATCTTCGGGGTGTTGTGTATTGCTGCTGCTGGGTGGTTCTTCATCTTCTATCCAGAGACCTGCGGAAAGACTCTTGAGGAAGTCGAGCTCATGTTCTCTAAAGAAGGCCCTCATCCTTGGAAGACGCGTAAGGGAGAGTCTCGTCTTGAAGCCGAGATAGAAGCCGTGGTTGCTAGGAAGACGCAAGATGATCCTCCAGTTGATACACGTGAAGGTCAGGCCGAGAAGGCCTAAACGCGGGGACGGAATACTAATCAATATACATTGACCATTGAGAGGCGAGCATAAGTCCAATCTATCGCGGTAGGACTAGATTGCTTGAATCGGTTGAGATTGTTGGCCGAAACCTGTAGTATTAGGCTATGGACAATTCGTTGTTTGGCTGACCTCTTGGAAAGAGCAACACAGGACAGGAATGTTACAACTCTTCTGGCAACTTGTGCTATCGCTACCGTACTTCTCCAAGATGACCATCCCATTGATGATAGTATCGCCAAGGGGTGAAATACGCAAGTGAATGGCCACCTGGGAGTGTTGCTCAGTCTGTAATCGATAAATTGTGGCGATAAATTGTGGTCATTCAAAGGATATCCGTATTCTGAGGAATTTATGCGGCCGTGTTTCTGAAGGATCACCCGCTGCTTGTGGGAGGCCTATGACCGTTGAACGAGATCGCCACTTAGATATATCGACCGTAGAGCGGCCGCGAACCTTGATATCCATAGTCTTCGAGCCGAACGCCGGATGGTGGGTGTGGGATCCGAGGGAGGGCATTAGAGTATGACCAGCTATCACAACCGAGCAGTATTGTGCTCGAACTGAAATGGACCAATGCTCAGCCCCAGTAACCGTCTTCCCACAAGTCCTTGCGATATCCTTCGGTCAATCTTTCATCCTTGCCGTATACCTCTTGCCAGCCAACAAAGCCCCGGTCAAGGACATAGACTCTTTGCTCGACGGGATCGGCCCCATCCTTATCCGTGGTTGACTTTTGTTTGTTGCCCAGAATGTGGTCTCGTTCGCGAAGATACCGTAAGGCGGCGCCAGGGCCACGCTGCTGAGACAAGGCACAGTGGAAGACAATTGTCTTCTTGTCTTGAAGCTTGCGGATGATGGTCGGGAGCATGGCATCGAGCGTGCGGGAAGGGACGTGCATAGAGCCTTTGATGTGACCGCCGATATGATCTGGATCATAGATGAGGTTAGCCGGTCATGTATTTACTGTTCGAAAAGTGGAAAAGAGGATCCTAGGCTTGCTGCGGAAGGAAGAGAAGCTGGAACTCACCGTCATCTCGCACGTCGATGACAGCAATGGTGGGGTCGCCGCTCTGCTCGGCCAGAAGAAGCCCAGACAACTTCGCGGCGGATATGCGCTGTAGATTTGCTATAGAAGCCATTGTGCGTGACTTTGCTGCGAGCAATAAGAAGGGAGGGGAGGGCTGGTTGTCGCTAGCAGTGATGAGGTTTCCGAGAGAACGCGAGACGTTGGTGTTGATGAATGAAGGGGGATCCTTTCGGAGGTGAGGGGCATTTGAAGTGTGGCGCCGGCCAATTTGTCTCGAGCTTGTGTATACTTTACACCGCGTCACCCAAACAGGAGGAACATCTCATCAATATTACCAAGCCGATAGATATTAGATCTCACAAGCCAATTTTTTTTTGTTGACAAACTTTAATCTATTAGTTGGATGTATGAGGTCTTCATTTTTGTGAATATTTTATTCATTTTGCAGAATAATACCAAGCATGCCTAGCAAAGTTTCGCAGCGCAGCAAGCTGCCATGCTAGTCAATGTAATCTTCAGCACACCAGTTAACCAATCTCCAAGACAGGACCCGACTACTGCAGCCGATGAGATTTCACACAAGCCGCAGCACCCAGGCTCTGGCTTGATATTCGCCCTGCGTACTGCAGACGCACTGTGATTATACTCCGTTCTCGGGTCAGGCACGTATACTCGCCGCGGCGTCGGCTTGTGTGCTAAGCGCGGCCCTTCCGGTAATGTTAAGTCCTTCAATTCAGATGAAGAGGCTGGGCTATTGTTAGCTTGTGAAGGCAGATGCCCTGGTCTGCTGCTGTCTTGAGAGTTATTTGCATGGATCAACTGGGACTCAGTATCATACACAATCTCCTCCGGCTTGTACGGAGTTTCCACGACGTGAAAATCTTGATGACTGGGTGTTGGTGAAGCGGCGATGGGAATTGTGCCGCGAGACGACCTCACGAAATCGTCTGACTGCCTTGATAACCTTCGCCAATGCTCCGTGTAGGTTTCTTGGCCGTCCACTAGACGATGCTGTGATATTGGACGGAATGATGATGGCGAGGTCCGCGTACTGACATCGGGGAGACCTTTGACGCCTGATAAATGACTTTGCATCTCTTGACGGCAAGCAACTGTTTTCTGCACCGTGCTCTGTAAACTTGTTTAGGCGTTGTCAATGGGAAATTCTGCTTGGAGGTGGTGTAGTCCTTCGGAGGTGAGATATCGGTTCAGAATGAAGGCTCGTTATTCTAACGGATTCCTGTGTATGCAGCCGCAGACATTTTTATTCTTATCGTCTGCATGGGTTGGATTTTTTCCCCTCTTATTATTCTATGCGAATCTAGAATTCGGGCGCTCCACAGTAACAACATCACCGGCTCCCCTGATCCAGGATTCCCCACAGAAGCCTCTGGAGGCAATCTAATCAAGTAACGCGCCGTGGCTTGTCAGCGCCGAAAAGCTTGTATTAATCAAGCTTAACTGGGCTCACGACCAACTGACAATGGCCACTGGGTCACCGTCACCTCGGGCTTACCTGGGATGGGCGATATGGGGACTTTCTATGAACTCAATATTTTCTGTAGCAATTCTCCATCATGTGAGCTGCCAAAACTGCTCTTTAGTCAAGTCTATCACAGCGACAGGTAATCTAGATATAGTTTACTTCAACACCACGCTTTCCAATTTGGATCATTCTCGTCTAGCTCCACCGCCTCGTGCTGTACAGTTCCGCTCTTTGTCAACACCTTCCTTGCCTTTCCTTTGCTGAGATAGGGGGAGTCGTCATAGTCTCGAATGTAGTAAGCCCAGTCACAAGTATCATCACATTCGGTCTGACTGAACCCATTCCCAAGCCAGTCAAATCTATTGCCCCTATATGTTACTTCCCAGTCATCGGCGCGTAGATACTGCAACGCCTCAAAGTAGTGCAGGGAACTGCCGGGCCACAATGCAGAGACACGCCCATCGATGGTGTGGGATTTGTACCAGCTCCGACACCCGCTCTTCCAGATCGTGTCCCGCATGAATAAGTCGGTGCGTGCAGCAAAGTCTTCAATTGCGTTGAGCTTTGGAATGAAGGAATGGATGTTTTCTGTTTGCCAGCGGTCACACCAACGAAGCATGTAATCTGCTTGTGCTTCTACAAAGATCCATGACTCTAATTAGTAGGTGCCATATATGCCTCGTGAAGATTTTGACTGACCAATAGCTCCAATCAGTGGCCCACTCCCAATCGGGCAATTGGGTCCCAGGAAATGTAAGTAATTGGGCTGTCCAGGAGCAGCTACACCAAGGTAGGAATGAGCCTCCTGGGACCAAAGATCCTGGAGATTTAACCCGTTCTCTCCAAGTATGGGAAACCGTGGCCGAAAGGACACATCGAATCCAGTCGCGCAGATCAACACATCCAGAGAATATTGTTTCCCATTGGCGACACACCCCTTAGCAGTGACACAATCAATCTCACCAAATACCACCTCAACATTTTCTTCTTGCAATGTCTCTAGATAATTGATACCTGGGGTCATGCGACGGCATCCAAAGTCCCATTTGGGGATTAACTTCTCTTGAAGCTCGGGCTTGGTAAGTTTAGACTTCATCTGAAGCGTAACACGTTGCTTGGTCGTCTCCTGCAGTCTGCTCCCCTTCAGAAACATAGAGTAAATGTTGTTGACATTGCTCTCCGTTTGTTTTCGCCACTGGAGCAGTAGACCCGGATTACTGGCGAAGTCTTTTTTCTCCTGTTCAGTATATGAATGTTGTTCGAACCCACGAAGCGGTGTGACCCAAGTCGGAGTTCTCAAAAAGGTGGTGACTGTCGCAGCATGTGGTTGAATAGCTGGCAATATTTGAATCCCAGAAGAGCTTAGTCCATTAGCGGTATAGAACAAATATGTTCGAGACATTAAAAACATACCCATTGCCTATCAAGCCGACTCGTTTCCCGGTAAGATCGGCAGATTCGTCATAGTTGGCACTGTGGAGGAGCTTTCCCTCGAATTCATTCAAGCCGTGCAAGTCGGGCCACCTCCAATTATTGAGAATCCCTGATCCATTGATCAGGATATGACAATACTCGATAACCAAGTTGCCAGTGACAGTTTCATTGATGGTAACCTCCCATTGACCCTGCTCCTCCTTCCACTGGGCTCGAGATACCTCGGAGTTCACCCTTATGTACTTGTTCAAACCATATTTGGTCGCAAATTCCTTGAAGTAGTTCTTGATCTCTGCACTTCCAGCGTAGACTGCCGACCAATCTGGCTTTGGCTCCCACGAAAAGACGTAGTTATGCGCAGGTACGTCGCACGCACAGCTGAGATTGGTTTCAATCAGTTTAACCCCATGGATGATCCTGATATAGCGGAGACTCACCCTGGGTATCTATTTTCGAACCAAGTTCCCGATATCTCGGGATTCTTTTCATAAACTTTCAGGGAGAAGTTCTGGAAGGAGCGTTGAAGCTTGTAGGCAAAACATAGTGCGGATGCTCCTGCACCGACGACAATAATTTTCATGTCTCTCTCGCTGTGTATAGGACCACCGAGTTCCTCATTGCGGTAATAACCTCTCTCTCCGTTCCGCTTTTCTGTTGCGCCTGTCTTGGTATTTTCGCCTATAATAGGCGAAAGCTGGAGAAAGTCCTTGCTGACTTGGCATTGAGAGATGTCACCGGCATGAATAGTGTTGTGGTTTTCTGTTATACTGTCAATGGACCCCAGCATTGGAGCCATAGTGGTTGCCATCTTGGTTCATATGTTGAGTGCAGTAGATGGGTAAGGAAGCCCTGTCAGACACAGATTCGGTAGGGCAGGTGGGTGTCGTCAATATGTTATTCAACAATACCTTTACGGCGAGTCACCCCATAAGTTTCACCATAATCCTTTTACAGAATCAAGATACTTTAGCTTTCTGGCCATTGTGGCGCTGCACTCATTTCCGGAGCTACAACAGCCTACGGACTCTTTCACCGTGGAAGGCAACACTTAAGCGGGGGCAAGGACATATCCACGCCAGAACTACCTGTTAGTCTCGGCTGGCGGCGTTTGACTAGACGCTGCGGTATTATTGTCCGGAATTTATCGCGGGTCTGCAATTCACATATCCACAATTGGGAGGAACCACATTTGGGCTTCCCCAAATTAGTCTTCGGTGACTCTATTGCCGGTGTTCCTATTTACGAAGGGAGTATATTGCGAAGAGAACGACGAGGTTGGCAAAATAGTGGCGCGCACGTATAGACACCTGTGAGAACTGACACATGATCATGCAAGTCGCCTTGATTACAGGTGGCGGCTCGGGCATGGGCTTCGCGGTTGCGCAGAAACTGGTTAGGGAGAACTGGCTCGTAGCTATCGTAGACCTGAACGAAGATGATGGATTGAAAGCTGCTCGTGATCTGGGAAGCAACGCATCATTCGTTAAAGCGAATGTAGTCAAGTACAATGAGCAGCTCGAGGCATTTGAGAAGACATTCACAAAGCATGGCCGCCTTGATTTTGTTTTTGCGAACGCTGGGATTGCAGGCCTACCAGATTTCTACGACAAGGCCAAGACGTGGCCACCACAGCCGCCTTCGCTTCTGGTACAACACGTCAACCTGACGGGAGTGGAATACTCAGCATATCTTGCGATGCATTATATGCGGCGTAACAATGAGCCTGGAGGAGTCATTATAATCACAGCTTCTGGTTAGTCATGCTACAAGATGGAATCAAATAGAAAATATCCAACTAATCCAAAATCTAGCGGCCTCAATATACGCTTCGCCCGAGCTGCCGCTTTATGCTGTAGCGAAGCATGGAGTCCTTGGACTCATGAGATCTATGAGCGCGGCTCTTTGCAACGAGGGGATCAGGGTTAATTGCACGCTACCTGGAGCAATTCGAACGAATCTGCACTCTGATCATACTTGGTCTCAACTTAGGGAGGAAGACTTCACGCCAATCGAGGAAGTTGTGACCGCAATTATTGACCTTCTGAAAGATCCCAACGCAACTGGCAGGGCCTTGGAGATTAGTGCTGGGATGGTCTTCAACCGAGAGCAACCAGACTTTTCGAATGAAACAATGGCAAGGGTTATGGGTGGGATCTCATATGGACATGAAGCTGCCAAATAATACAGATGTGAAACTATATTCCAAGTCACATTGACAATTATGAACAAGAGACATATCGCAAACTTTTCGTTCGTGCATGTATGTCTGCATCCTAACAAGAATTCATCCAGATAGATTCTCACATTCCTCAATGATATCTGTTCTTCTCTGCAAGTGCATCATTCTCAAGAAAAACTTCAATCTTGGCCGTCATCTTTGACTCGATATCTTCGCATAGAAGCGCCAGGATGATCCCAACCACTCCAAAAGCCATCGATGCTAAGGCTGCATTTCTAGAGATAGACTTAGCTTGGGAGTACCAGGACAAGGTGTGACGTTGCGTACCTCAATCCAAATGCAGCAGAGTACTTGTAAGCGACCCCGACGGCATCAATGACTTGTTGGGTCACTCCGGGAATATTCGACAGGGCCGCTGCACCTTGACCCGCGACGGCCACTACCTGCGTAAGAGATGATTCTGGAAGTCCCGCATCTAAAGCTGCCCGAGGAATCAATTGTGCACCTTTGGTAGCAATGCCATTGGCGATGGCGCTTGAATAGCAAGCTGCAGCCACCGCGCCGCCAGCATACCGGGCAGTTCCCGCCAAACCGCCCGATATACCGAGCATTTCTTGTGGAACTCCAAGCTGAGTATAGGTGACTGAGAGATAGACAGACCACCCATACGATGCTTGACACAAAGTTACAAACGCAATGATCATGCCCTTGTTATTTGGATTGATCAGTGCCAATAAGCTGCCCCATAAGACGAGAGAGAATGTTGAAATGACCATCTGCCACTTCCAGTGGCCAATCTTGTTGCCGAATACAGACAAAAGCATCGCACCAAAAGGAATCGGGAGACTGTTTGGAAGAGTCAAGAGAAGCTGCTCTGAAACAGGTGTTGTTGCGTCAATGTAGAACGAATCCAAACACAATTAATGTTAGTATCATGACTTTTCCAAGGAGAAAATGCCCCACTCACTGAGCATCGTTGGGTATATCACAGCAGTTCCGTAGAAAAAGCCGACCAGAATGAAGGTCAGGAAGAAAGGTACAGTGAACTCCCGACCTCGGTGACTAGTGAAGATCTCCGACGGACAGAGAGGGTACTTCACTCCACCAAACTTCTCCCAGATAGCGAAGGCAATAATGACTGCGAAGCCAACACAGAGACACACCAACACCCGGACATCTGTGCTCGAGAGATAAGAGGTATACACAATGCCCACAAGAACAAGAACGGCGCCGACTGTAAATAATATGCCGCCAACCCAGTCAAGCCCTTTCAAGGCAGCTTTCCAGGGTATTCCCCTAGGATGTTTTGGGGGATCTAGAACAGGGCAATCAGAAAACTTGTACGAAAATATTGGATCTCGTAATGCTCACGGTAGAGGAAAAATAAACCAATAGTTGTCATAGCTTCGATGATGAAGCCGGTCCAGTACAAGTATCGCCATCGTTCGTCGCTGTGCATTATAGCAAAACGCCCAGCAATTGGTCCAATGACTATCATGATATAAACGACCGAATCCGCAAGCACCACCCCTATATGTCGGTATCTGTTCGGGATCAGTTCTGGCACAGCGATAAGTGCAATGCCCGTGATACCCGATCCAACGCCATTGAGGCTAAGTCCAGTAATGAGCATGGAAGTTGAGTTTGCGCGAGCACAAACGATATAAGATACAGCCGTGATAACATTTGCTGATAGAAGAAAGTAACGTCGACCAAATAGATCAGAGTTAGCCCCAAAGAGCAGGATTGTAACGGCAGCGGCTGTAGTGATACAGGGGACAACCCAGGCCGAGAGCTCTGCCTGACCAAAACTACCAAGTAGCTGCGAGGCAATAGCAGCCGTTGTCGGTGTAGCCCTATCTAGGGTGTTAACATCTGAATTGACAAAATAAAAGCTGGAATTAATCACCAGAATGGTCCACCAAATGACAGAGCAAGAAACTATGACCACAGATCGTCAATGAGGTTTCTTTCGAATCACTCAAGTATTTCCGGAAAACTCACGAGGATTGAGAACCAAGCCTTGGCGGTAGTTCTTTCAGTCAACTCCGTCTCTAACTCCTGCTTCACCTCGCTTGGAGCAGCAAGGTCGTGGCTAGGGGATGTTTCCAGCGTTTCTACATTCCCCATGTTTATCTCGTGCTCTTTATCCTCGATCATGGTAATATGCTAGCCTGTTGATTCATGCAAGTTAATACTACAGGCCTTCATGTCATAAGTTTTTGAATGGAGACAGATCTATACTTGACATAGCAGCAATCAAGATGAATAATTTGTAGAGGGACCACTGGTCTACATATGAAGGAGAGAATCAGGGGCCGCTTCACACAGATACCAATGATTAGCAGCGTATTGGACAAGGCAATGGAAGGCTTCCCCCTTTATCAATGGCCTGTCCTCCATTTACACGGATGAACCGTAAGAGGCTGCTGGACTGCTGTAGATAGTACCCCGCATGTCCACCGTTCCAAGAGTCTGGGGGGGGGGGGGGGGGGGGGGGGGGGGTTTCGAAAGGGGTCCTTAGCGCAAGCTCAAATTGCGATTTAGCAATTGGTCGGACATATTGACCGGCGCTAGTCCAAGGCTATCACGTCGGTGTCTGTTTCCATGATTGGCGATGGTGGCTTTCAGGTCCACACAAAGTCTATGTGTACGGCTACCATTTCCGGACGGCATAATGTCACCGGGTTGATGGCAGGGTTTCCCAAAGGGCTGAGTAATGAAGCACCACGACTTGAGCTTCTACTTGAAAGGTCGCCTCCAAATGGTAGAAGGCCAGATGAAGCCATGCCATGAAATAGTTGCCGCGACTTTAAAAACCAGAACGACAATTGATTCATAAGCTGCTGTGGTGTTTTCTAGACCAAAGTGCACCAGTGATAGCTATGGTATATTCAGGCCAGCTACATTACACGGACTTTCCGTCTCCGATCTTGTCAAGACCCATTGACGATCCTGGGCGCAGACTTCGTATTGTTTGTGTAGGTGCCGGGATCTCGGGCATTACTACTGTCATTAGATTCACCCAACACTTGAGCGAACATGTGGATGTTCAGATATACGACAAAAACGCCGGTAAGAAGCAATGAAGCTCTGTATAGCGAATGACATGTTGACACATAGATAGATGTTGGCGGTGTATGGCTCGAAAATAGATACCCTGGTGTGGCCTGCGACATTCCAGCCCCTTGTTTTGCTTTCCTGTTCGAAGACAACCCAGACTGGTCTAGCTATTATGCGGGAGGAAAAGAGATTAATGACTACATTTCGAAAATTGCCACAAAGTACCAGGTGCGCAAGTACATGAAGTTCCGTCACCTTGTGACCCATGCCAAGTGGAACGAGGATAGTGGAACCTGGAACCTGAAAATTTATGATCAGGTAAACTATCAGGTATGTATCATACGTACCTGTTATGAATGATAGGCTTCGTAGCTGAGGAGTGTAGACAATCGAGGATGAAGCGGATATTTTTATTATGGCATGGGGTATGCTCAATAACTGGGAATTTCCCAAAGTTCCAGGACTACACTCTTTTCGCGGGCCTAATATGCACACTGCAAACTATGATGAGTCTTTCGACCCATCGGACAAGGTGGTTGCTCTAGTAGGTGGAGGTTCAACGGGCGTACAAGTATTGCCCCATATACAGAAATCAGCGAAGAAGGTCCACCATTATATGAGATCGCAGTAAGACATTTAGTGTTGGAGCAGAGTTTTCCATGAAGCTCGCTGACCTTGATAGAAATTGGATCGCACCAGTGGGATTTGGGGCGGCAGAGCTGGAAAAACGAGGACAGCTTGCGGAAGGAAACTGTAAGGCTAGCATGGCTCCCAGTACACTTGTCTAATTGTCTAACACTTCCAAGTTACATACTCCAAAGAAGAGCGCGAACAATGGGCAAACGACCCAAAAGCTTACCATACGTACAGAAGAAGTATTGAAGATGGGATCATGGCATATATGGCGGAGGATGGCTTCAAGTATGGATCTGAGGAACAGAAAACGATGGAGGCAAACTTCAGAGCACACATGCAGAAAATGTTGAAAAAGAGGCCGGAAATTCTGGAAACATTACTACCAGACTTCCCGCCAGGTTGCCGAAGACTGGTGCCCGGGCCGGGATATCTGGAAGCCATCACGCAAGATAATGTGGAATGGATCTCCAAAGAATTGCAATGCGTTACGGAAGAAGGAATTATCACAACGGATGGGAAAATGCACAAATGCGATGCCATTATATGGGCTACAGGCTTTATCTGGTATGTTGTTCTATCTGAGTGACGAACAACATCAATTTGACCAAATCATAAATAGTGATTTTCGAAGCAGGTTTTCTGTGGAAGGGCGAGATGGAATCACATGGAACCAAGTTATGGACCCTGAACCAGAGGCATACCTAGGTTGTCTCGTTGACAAGATGCCGAATTGCTTCTTGTTCTTTGGACCTAATTGCGCCCCTGGAGCTGGAAATTCATACTTATGCGCAGAGTCAGAGTGTGAGATGATGGTCGCGTGTGTCGAAAAAATGCTTCGGGAGAAAATCAAATCAATCTGTATCAAGTAAGTGGCATTGAC